CAATCATCTCGTGCATTGCTTCTAGTAAGTCCATGATGTAGGGAAAATGAATTGATTTTGAAAAGAAGTTTAGAAGGTGAATCGTGAAAAGAAAGCTTAAGAGTAAAATATAAATAGTTGTCACTACTACATATATTGACTACGTCCTACGTCACAATATTTTTTTACAGCTGTGACACAAAATTTCTTACTGACTAATAATGATAAGTAAGTAATAGACCTTATTCGTGGTGTGACAATGTTTTCCCAATTCAACGTGACAAACCTCTGGGGGGAATGAAGAGCTATTGTTTTGCAACTCGTCGGGATATCATCGTTATTCCTTTCGTATCCTTTGGGATACTCATGAATTTTTCGAAGAGTAAAAACAAAAGAAAATGAATCCCCTGGAGGTTCGTCACGCTGAGTTGGGAAAAGATTGTCACACCACGAATAAGGCCTATTCACCCTGCCTGCATGTGCCTGCCTGGGCCTACCCAGTGCATGAACGCGCGAATTGAATTGAAATTAAATACTCTAACTTGGTACGCTATTTTAGTCCTCGCGATCCATCTTATGTCTTGAACAGAGGAAATTTGTCCGAATTTTCCAAATTAACGTTTGAAGGGAGTATTTTGATCGTTAAATCATTCTTTAGCTTTACTCGATTAATGGATTCTATGTTGTATCTCGTGCAGAATCGAGATGAGTTGAAAGTGCGGAGAAGATTTGCTTCTTGTACGAAAAACAACATTCTTTACCTAGCTACTGTTCGTTCTGTTCTTGCAGGGTTTTCTCTGGGTTCTCAGGTTTTCCTCCCTCCGTACTAATCAACTTTTAAACTCAAATTTGATTGTAGATCGTGTCTACCACAGAGTTGTTAGCGACTGGTAAAACAAGGACGATTTTTGTAAACTTCTGGAATTTAAAATTGAGTGCCACAGGTAGTAAGGAAAATCTTTCCTCGAATTTAAATATAGAAGTGAATGGAAACCATGATGTATTTCAGATAAAGTGCTATCCAATATTTTGAATCTCTCGTTTGAGGGTCATTTTCATCCAGATATCATAGTTTGTGTCCTTTTATGTTTATCTACTTACAACAAAGTAACAAAACTTATCAAAGCTGCATTATCCGAGCTATGTTTACTGGGCAGAGACGAGTAAAACAAGCCAAAGGTTGGTGTAAAATGGCTGTAGGGTCAAACCTACATCCGAGCTTTAATAATGGAAAATATGCAAAATTACTAGGGATCGATAAAACCCTGATAACAGTACTTCGAGTAATGCCCAGTGAAGGTGAGGGCAGATAAAACGCCCAAGCAAAATGACAACCAGTTGTCCTTTTGCAGCCCCACCCGAGAAGAATGCAGCAAAGAGAAGCATATTACTATCGAATAAAAGATAAATTTAAGTGAGACAACCGAGTCATCTCAACTCTTTCAAAGAAAACCGTCTGAAGGTAATCTAATTGACGGTTAAATCATTCCTTGGTTTCACTCGATTTATGGATCCTATCTTGTATCACGTGTGGATTCGAGATGAAAGTGAGAATTGTGTTCCGAAATCGAGACGGATCAGAATTGCTCGCTTCTTGCATAAAACTTTGTTGACCTATCTACTGTTCGTTATTGTGCTGAGGGTTTTCTTTCCCTTCCGTCCTTCTAAACTCCAATTTGATGGTTGAATGAGGGCGACAGATTTTTTAGAATCTGGTTAAACAAGGATGATTTTTTAAACGTTTAGACGCCAAATAGTTTCTAGATATGTAAGTGCTTGGAATCCATGTCGAATTTCAGTCGAAAATGTCATCTAATATTTTGAATCTCTCTTTTGAGGGTCATTTTCATCCTCTTGTATTTCTTACAGAAATTGAAAAAAATTTTAAAATCTTTTTTGA